AAAACAATATTTTCTTGTGTCTGTAGATTTTATAAATAAGATATTTTTATTTTAACCATGTGTTGTATCGTCCTCAACGAAATCGGCTGCCTCTTCCCGCGTTACACATTCGACATGCGAAACTTTATTTCTGAATTTCACTCCATAAAATTTGTTCGCATGATGTAGTAATTCTGGCCTGCAAAGTAAATACACTTAATTTTCCATATTTTATCAGAAATTATCGAAATTCCTTACGAGGCCACTGAATTACATTACCTGAATGTCGTGGTGATAAACTGGGCATCAGAGCTAAGCTCGTGGATCATATCTGCCACTGCCTTTCTGTGTTGAGCGTCCAGCGCTTGGTCGATTTCATCGAACAAATAAAATGGTGCAGGATCGCACTTTTGTATCGCGAATATGAGTGCCAATGCTACGAGTGACTTTTGTCCACCAGATAATTGATTCATCTCTCTCATTTCGCCTCTATGTCCCGTAAACGATACTTTTATACCTAAAAACAATAGATTAGTAGTTTGAAATATATAAATAGAAAATTTATAAGTGTGAAATAGTTAAAATTAGAAAAATAAACATTTTTAAATAAAATAATATATAACAATTTTTTTTATTATAAAGTATACTTGTTACATAAAAAAATCTTCCTCACCTACGCCAATGAATCTATCAGAATCTGATGGCTCTGCTGTTCCATCATCTCCTTCATCACCATCTGCAGTCCTCATGACTAATTGCGCATGTCCCGAAGGTACAAGTTTTTTAAATACTTCACTGAAATATTTGCTCACCTTAAACAAAAGATTGTCACACGAAATGTTTAAGAATATATGATAGTTTAATAGCTTAATATTAATTTTTCACTATTTTTAAATTCAATTTTTTAATATTTGATATACATAATGATGTACCTGTTTAAATGTAAATTGTATCGCTTCGCATTTACGCTGTTCAAGTACAGACATGAGTTCTTTTATTTTCTCGTCGCCTCGATCTAACTCTTCCTTTCGTTTTACCAATCTTTCTTTCTGATCACTGAACGACATGAACTGATCCAAAGCCTTTTTATTCACATGGCTAAAAATGAACATAATAAACATGCAAATATATAAAGAATACAATTTTTACAATTTTCTTCGATCTTTATAGTTATAAATGTACTAATAATTATTAATAATTTTTAATCTTTTATACTTGTTAGAATTTTTATTATATTTAAGATTTACGCACCTATATTTTTTTAAATGATTATTTGCTTTCTCCATTTCCTTAAAAAGCTGTTTCGTGGACATTGTATTAAACTTAGAATAAGCTTCATGACTAGGCAATGCGCCGAGTTCAGTAATTTTCTGTGTACATTCCACTATTTTATGCTGCAGGATATTTAACTTGCTCGCTAATTTTTCTAAATCCTTTGCGTCGGCTTCTATTTTCTCCTGTGCTTCTTTTTCTTTTAATTTCCATTTCTCAACTTCAGCAGACTCCGATTTTTGCTAAACATACAGCAATATGAAAAGGATTATTTTATTTAAATATATACGAATAATAACTATGCCATGTTTTTAATAAATGCTTACTTTCTTCATAGCGTTGGTCACTTTTTCGTTTTGCGCTTTGAAATCCTCGTTTACTTTTACTAATCTCTTTTCAATATCCGCTAATTGTATCTTTGATGAGTCAAGCTGCCGTTGTCGATCTTCAACTGAAATCTCTTGTAAAGCTTGAACTAATTCATCCTTTCTTCTCACTAAATTATTTGTTAATAAGTTTTCTAACTTATTTTTTTCTGCTTCTAATTGCATTCGCTTCGCAAATGCTTCTTTGTTCTCCTTCGTTAAGCGTCTTATGTCATCATTTAAAGTATCAACCTATAAAAATCAATATTAGCTGAATTCATACAAATTTCTGATCCGAGATAGAATTAAAAAAAATAAGAATATGTAACATTTATTAATCTAATGTATTAAAAATTTTTTCTTTATACAATTTTTTTCTTTATACCTGATGCTGATCCGCGACGGATAACTGCGCCATGAGTTCTTGATGTAATTCACTCTCCAGGCCGTCTTTAGTCGCGCGCATCGCTTCCAAACTTGATGTACACTGTGCAAGACTTCTTTCTTTTGGTGTACGGTATCTTTCTATAGCACTTAATTCTTCCTTCATAAGACGTATTTCTGCTTTCATTTTATCATATATATCTCTGTAAAATAGATGAATTGCTGATTAATCTTGATAATCAAAATTAATAATAAAATTTATCAACACATACACATACACATTTATTTCGATAGAAAACAATATAAATATGTACCAAACAATATAAAAAAAATTTGAAATGGATACTAATTATATAATTCTATATTAAAGATATCTTAATTACTTACTTAGCTTTACTATTTCTGGTTTCAGTCCTCTGCATTTCACTAACGTAAGAACTAATATTTTGATCCGCCTTTCTGATTTCTTCTTTAAGCGTTGTTAATTGGGTCTCCAAAGTAGAAATCTGAGACATTAATTCTGATCTTGTCTTCTGTATTTCAAGCCGTGATCTGAGTGTATTGAAATATCCGCCAGTTAAGGAGCCTTTAGATGAAACCTGATCGCCTTCTAATGTAACACAGTCCAAACCGGAATCTCGCGCCAAAGTTGTTGCTGCCTCCAGATTGCGGCAGATCAAAGTCTTTCCAAATATGTATCTATAATAAAAAAAAAATTATATATATATATATATATATATATATATATATATATATATAT